GGAGTTAGCCATTGGCACTTGTCACAAGAAGAGAGCTCATTTCTAGCAACAATGACTCCTAGACTCCTAAGGCCCAACTTACTGTAGAAACTTCTTACTTGGGGCTCAGGAAGCCTGCAGACCAATGGACCTGACATAGTCATCAGGAGCATCTGCTGAGCAGCCACAGCAGCTAGGAGGGAGGGGGAATCATAAAACACAAGGATGCCCTCCAAACGCTGCCTCTGCTTTCACTTAGATTCCTCCCACAAAAGACATCCTCTGCCATTACTTTCATTGTAATATGACAAAAAGTCACACACAGAAGCAAGATTTATGATGTTCAGTTGGGTTTGTTCATGTCTTTGTTTAATTAAGGTACAGCTCAGATAGAATGAAGTCCACAAATGTTAGGTATAAATATAGATATAACTATAGATCACAAAAGATACAGCACATATCCAGCAATCCAGACGGTTCCCTAGCACCCACCCCAGTCAACACTCCCCCCATACACACACAATGAAGCTACTGCTATAACCTCTATCATCATAGATTACTTTTTTTCTACTTTTATTGTTCATCTAAATGGGATTATACTGTATATAATCTTTTGGATATGGTCTCTCATTCAAAATTATGACTGTGAGCCTCATACATCTCTGCATATAACAGTTCATTCTTTTTCATTGCTCTATAGTATGCAAGAACATACCACATTTTGCCCATTCTACTGTTGATGAACACTTGGGTTGTTTCCACTTAGGAATGACAAATAAAACTGCTATGGACATTTTTTTATTGAAGTAAAATTTCCTATAAGTCATCATTCTATATATTTTTAAAATTTTTTTTGTCAAGGTTTAAAAGTGATAATTTTATCTTTTTAATATTTTAAGGTAACTTTGGTTTACAACACAGTATATGACCCAGAAATATAGGATCCTATCTCTTCAGGTGTATGTTACCATAGCACCACACACCACCAGGGCACCTATAGTCCTTCCATAGCATTGCGAAGTGAACAATTCAATGGTACATTCACATGTGAGTATCTAATTCCAAAATACTTTCAATGATTTAACATATTCAAATATAATCAAAATATTCTCATCACCTCCTAAATAAATATCCATATCCATTGAGCAGTCATTGCTTATCACTCCCACCACAACCCCCCACCCCCGCCCCACCTGCTGCCTCCTCCAATCTCTAGAAATCCCTAATCCTTCTATCTCTGTAGATTTGCCTGTTCTGGACATTTTACATATTGGAATTATGCAATGTGTGATTTTTTTATATTTGACTTCTCATATTAACCTAATGTTTTCAAGGTTCATCAATTGTAGCATATCAGTACTCCATTCCTTTTTATGGTGAATAATATTCCATTATATGGATAAATAATATTTTGCTTATCTGTTTATCAGTTAATGGACATTTGGGTTGTTTTATTTTTTTACTCTTATGAATAATGTTGGTATGAACATTCATGTCAAATTTTTGTGTGACATCTGTTTTCAGTTTTCTTAGATATATGCCTTGGGCTGTGAACATATTTATTCATGTCTCCTGTTGGTCTTTTTTTCTTGATTATATATTCAGGTGTGGAATTGCTTGTCGTAAGTTTTAGAAGGCTTTGTGAGGCAGTTGTATCATTTTACACACTTACAAGCCATGTATAAAAGTACCCGTTACTTCCCATCTCACCAAACTTGGCAGTCCTTTTCTTGTTGGCTGTTCTGGTGAGTATGTAGTGGTATCAGACTGTGTTTTAATTTGATTTACATTCCTATGATGATGAACAATATTGAGCACATTTTTATATGTTTGTTGATTCGTTGGATGTTCTCTTTTGTGATGTGCCTATTCAAGTCTTTTGCCCATTTTTTTCCCCTGTTAGATTGTTTACACTTTTCTTATTGGTTTGTTGTTGTTATTGTTGCTGTTGTTTTTTTACATGCTGGATATATATCCTCTGACATACATATTACACACACACATATATGAAAAATGTCTATTCCCAGTCTGCGTCTTGGCTTATCATCTCTTCATGTTGTATTTTTTAAATTGAGGTAAAATTTGCACAGAAGATAATGCACAGATTTTAAATGTATAATTCCATGGTTTCCATAAGTATAAATGTGCATGTAATCATCACACCACTCAATATAGGGAACACTCCCATTACTCCAGAAAGTATACTCTTGACCAATTTTTTTTTTTGCATAGAAGAATTGGGGTGTAGGCCAGAGGTGCGGGGGTGGTGGTGAGAGGATTCACCAGAGACAGAGTGGGGAGCAGAATAGGCAGTTACTGTAATAGGCAGTTAGAATAGGCAGTTACTGTACACTGCTGAGGAGAGCAGCGGGCGAGACAGAAGAGGTCTGCTGCACCATGTGGGTTAGCTCCCTGGCAGGTGATCAAACTCAGGGAGTAGCAGTGATCCTCTTCTTGCCCATTTTTTCTTTTATCAGTCTTTACCTTCATAGGCAGCCACTGTTTTGATTTATAATACCATCAATTAGCTTTGCCTGTCAACAAATTTAATATCAATTAAATCATATAGTAAAAACTCTATCTCTTTCTGGGTCTTTAGCTATTTTCTATTGCTCTATTTTCCAAGTCTCCAATCCTGTCTTATTCTGTGCCCAGTTTGCTATTATAATTACCCAATGAGTTCTTATTTTCAAACATTGGATATTTAATTTCTAAAATATTCATCTGATGCTTTGAAAAATAGATTCCAATTTTGTATTGAAAAATCTCTATTTTTAATCCATTTTATAACATTTTCTCCACCATATAAAGTATAGTTATCTAGGTGCACCTCAGAGATAGCATGAGTTCCTTTCCAGGTCACTACAATAAAGTAAATACTGCTATAAAATATTTCATAAAAGTTCTTTTTGTTTCCCAGCAAATATAAAAGTTGTGTTTACACTGTACACTATTACATGTGCAATAGCATTATCCTTTTAAAAAAAAATGACCTACATGCCTTTATTAACTACAATAGACAGATACAAAGTAAGCATGTGCTGTTAGAAAAATGGCACTGGTACACTTGCTCAACACAAGGTTGCAAGATTTGGAAAAAATAAAGAAGCCTTCCACAAACCAATAAGAAGAAGGCAACAGAAGGTTGAAGGTTTTTGCAAACCTTCAATTTACAAAAAAGAAAAAATAAATAAAAGCTATCTTCAAAGAACAATAAAGCAAAGTAAAATAACACGTGGTAGCTTGTACTGAAATCCTATTGGAATCATCTGTATATCTTTTTTTTCCTCTTGGTTGTTGTCACATTTTCCCTCCCTTTTGCAGCTCTAATATTTTTATCATGTGCTGGACACCATTTAAATAGAATCATGTAGGATTTAGATAATATTTCTCACCAGACACATCTCTCCCTTTCCTCTGGTAGAAGGTAGGAGAAGGGAATGATTGCCTTGGTCCAGTCTAGGCTTGAGTTAGACCAAGTCTGGCACTCAGTTTTAGTAAGATGTAGTCTAACTTTGCTTTGCTCTTAAGGAATGGCCCTCCCGAGTCTTGGGTTGATAGTTTGGCTGATCTCTGTCTCCTCAGCCCTGAAAAATGGTAGGAAATTTGTTTCTATTCTTTGGAATTTTTGAGCTGATGTCTTTAGCAAACCCTCCCCCTCCACACACACAACTTCAAAAAACTTGAATATGCTTAAAAATCTCTTAAGCTTAGAGAGATTTTTGGGATTATGGGAAATTTTACTCTGTCTTTTAAAACTCTTCACCTTAGCTCCCAAGCCTTCTTTGCATAACCCCCAAACTCAGAAGATGTCCTATGGGGAAAACTTGTTCTGCATTTAGAGTGCCTTAAATCTCCGATCTGTTTGCAAGTCCTTTTTGATTACCAAAAGCCTTGCCGTTTTATCTTCCTCTCATCAATGTCTTTCTGCCTGGGTCAAGTCCAAGCCACATGATGGGCCCAAAATAAAATATTTCCAAAGAAGAAAAATGCTGGTGATTCTCAGTTCACTTTTTTCCCTGAAGTTCCAATTAATCTCATCCTTGTTACACTTATGTTCCTCCATTTTTTTTTAATGTGATGTATAATTTATCCAGGTTTCTTACTTGTTGAAGTGGAAGTATGGGGCTACCATGACCTCTTCCATCCTACACAGGAGCAGAAGTCTGGATATCTAGCTTAAATGGCATCAAGAAGTACTACTACTCAAGGTATACAAGAGAAAAATAAGCTTAATAAGTATGTGAACAGCAGCAAATTGGAGAGAACATTGGAGAAAGTAATCCTTCCAAAGCAACATGGTGGAACTTTGAGTGAGTGCAAAAGTAGAATCACAATCTTAAGAACTTGACTTGAGATCTGATATCCCAAACCAAACATGAAACCTAAGGTGAAGGCCAGTAGAAATCTTTCCAAAGCATTTTTTGGGCCTCCCCAGTGGCGCAGCAGGTTGAGCGCAGTACTGTGAAGCTGTCCGCAGCCTCTGCAGTGCAGCTTCAATTTACGGCCAGCCAGGGAGATACCCACATGGTGCAGTAGACCTCTCCTGCCTCTCCCGCTGCTCCCTTCAGCAGTGAATTTTGTCAGTCTGCCTGTTCTGCAACCCTCTCTGTCTCTGGTAAATCCTCTCACCCTCTCATGCCTCTAGCCTGTACCCCAGCTCTCGTATAAATAAAATAAGTCTTTTTTTTAAAAAAGCATTTTTCAAAATCATAATTTCTGATTATTCTGGTAAAATGTAACTTTAAGGAAATAGAAGCTTCCCCTGCTTTTCATCACTGTATCATGTGAACACAGTGTGGTGACTCCTATTTGGCAGGTTTTACATAAATTAATAATTGACAACAGAAGGTAGGACTTTGGGTTCACATAGGGGTTGAATACCACAGCCCATCCTCAGGCCTCTAGAGTTGGTTGTAAATAATAGCGGTTATATTAATTATCAAGTAAACACAAATCCTTATTCCAGAATCTTTTCTTTCTATGGTTTCCAGATACTCCCAGTGTTCTGATGCTCCAGCTGCCCATCTGCAGAGCTCCGTCTCTGTCTCACTATGGAGACTACAACCTGTAATGGATCGGTGGATGGCTCCCCAGTATTCTATCTAGTGGGCATCCCTTCTCTCCCTGAATCCTTCTTCCTCCCTGTGTTTTTTATTTTCTTGCTCTTCTATGTTCTCATCCTTATGGGGAATGCCCTGATCTTGGTGGCTGTGGTGGCAGAACCCAGTCTCCATAAGCCCATGTACTTCTTTCTAATCAACCTCTCTGTCCTGGACATCCTCTTTACCACAACCACTGTCCCCAAGATGCTGTCCCTATTCCTACTTGGGGACCACTTCCTCAGCTTCCCTGCCTGCTTATTGCAGATGTACCTTTTCCAAAGTTTCACATGCTCTGAAGCCTTCATCCTGGTGGTCATGGCCTATGATCGCTATGTGGCTATCTGCCGCCCGCTGCATTACCCTGTCCACATGACCCCCCAGAACAACGCTGCACTGGCGGCCAGTGCCTGGTTCATTGCCCTGCTCCTGCCCATCACAGCAGTGATAAAGACCTCCCAGATGGCATATAACAACATCGCTTACATCTACCATTGCTTCTGTGACCACTTGGCTCTCGTTCAGTCCTCCTGCTCTGACACAGCCCCCCAGACCCTTATGGGCTTCTGCATTGCCATGGTGGTGTCCTTCCTGCCCCTTCTCCTGGTGCTTCTCTCCTATGCCCACATCCTGGCTTCAGTGCTTCGCATCAACTCCCGAGAAGGACGCTCAAAAGCCTTCTCCACCTGCAGCTCCCACCTCCTGGTGGTTGGCACCTACTACTCATCCATTGCTGTGGCCTACGTGGCTTACAGGGCTGACCTGCCCCTTGACTTCCACATCATGGGCAATGTAGCATATTCTATTCTCACGCCAATCCTCAACCCTCTCATCTACACACTGAGAAACAAAGATGTCAAGGCAGCCATCACCAAAATCGCATGTATCAAGATCCAGTCTGGGACAGGAGCCCTTGATCTTTAAATGCAACTAATTCTTTCAGAACACCATATAACAATGGCCAGCACAGAGTACAAACTCAACGATTTTTTTAAAAAGTAAATATAGAATGGTAAATTTATGGTGAATAATATGATATGAAATAAATGGTGAAAATAGAATAATTAAAGAAAATTTAATTGAGCAGACAGCTCCAACAGTGGTTTTCAGTGCAAGAGAATCATGCTTCTCTTTATAGAAAATCTTAAGTTGTTGTATGTGAATTTCACTACTTAGCAACTCTAAAAATTTTTTTTAAAGAAATACCTGCATTAAGTAAGAAATATCTTTTATAAGTAAAGTTAAACAAAGAAACCAAATAGGAGACATATTATAGGGAAAAGGAAAATATCCAAAATGCATACAGAGTTCCTAAAATTTTAAAGAGCTGACCTGGACACATTTATCAATAGGGAACTAATTAAACAAACTGTGAAGATACACAATATAATTATAAAAAGGAAGTGAGGACACTCCCTACATACTAATATGGTGTCATCTCTAGGATATGCTTTTAATTGAACAAAATAAGATGTAGAATGTGTTTTATTAAAAAAAAAGAGATATGTCTTAAATTTCAGGTAGAACAAGAAAGATTAAGCTCATGAACTAATAAGTATATTTACCAATAAGAGGGAAGGCTTGGGTTGGGGGGATAAGAATGGAAGCAAGATGGGCTTAAAGGTACTATTTGACTTTAGGTGTATGTACAGTTGTTACATAATTAAAAGAAATTAAAAAGCAAGACCCTCTATTTAGAATAAACAGAAACACTTGGCCTTGGCTGTTTATCAAATTAATGGCATGATATGCAGAAAATTACTAGCAACTTTAAAAGCAGAAGGAGTTAATATAAAAACAAGAAAAATTATAACAACTTCTTAAAGCAATTGAGGAGTTTTTTAAAATATATAGACATATAGTTTTTAAAATAGTATACTACATTTAAATTATATATTTCTATAGCTAGTGTCATTTTTAACATTTTATTTTGAAATGATTTATATTTACAGAAAGTTGTGAAGATAACACAGTTTTAATTTACCCTTCATCCAGCTTCCCCTAAAGAGAACATTTCACATAGCTATTTAACATTTATCAAAGCTAAGACATTAACATTGATACTATGAACTAAACTGTAGACTTTACCAAATTCCTCCAATTTTACCACTAATGCTGTTTTTCACCCTAGTATCCAATCCCAGATATTATGGTGCATTTAATAATCACATCTCCTTAGTTGACTTTCTTGGTCTCTCCTTATCTTTCATGACCCTGGCAAGTTACTAAATGAAAGAAGCCAATCTGGAGAGACTATATACTGTGTGATTCCAACTATGTGACATTTTAGAAAGGCAAAACTATGGAGGCAGTAAAAATATCAGTGGCTGCAGGATTAGGGCAGGGAAGGGATGAACAGGCAGAGCACAGAAGATTTTTAAGGCAGTGAAACTATTCTGTGTGATATTAAATACATTATGCATTTGTGTTAGTCCATAGGATGTGAAGAGTGAATGCTAATATAAACTCTGAACTTTGTTTTTTTGTGTGTGTGTGCTTATAGCCTTTATTTATTTATTTTTTAAAAAAATAATAAATTTTATTTTTATATTCCCCATACAATTGTAACCCCCCCATTCTGACCCCAATCCCTCCCCTCCCGCCCCCCACCCCCAAAAAGTGTCTCTGGTTCATAGTTTTTTGTTGATTTTGACTTTTACTTTCTTATAGTTATTCATTTTCCTGGTCCCTTATTTAAGTTTTCTAGATTCCTGCTATGAGTGAGACCATCCGGTATTTTTCTTTTTCTTTCTGGCTTATTTCGCTGAGCATGATCCCTTCCAGCGCCATCCATGTTGCTGTAAATTGCATGTGTTTATCTTTTTTGATTGCTGAGTAATATTCCATGGTATATATGTACCACATCTTCTTGATCCAGTCATCTATTTTTGGGCATTTGGGCTGTTTCCAAAGCTTAGTTATTGTAAATAGAAGCTCTGAACTTTGAATGACAATAAGTCAATGTTGATTTATGGATTGTAACAAATGTTCCACCATGATGGGTGATGCTGATAGTGGGGGAAGGTGGGGGGCAGGAGTCGTGGTGCAGGGAATTCACTTTCAATTTTTCTGTGAAGCTAAAATCGCTCCAAGAAATAGTTTATTAATTTAAAAAAAGGGAATTATCAGGTATTTTGCAGAATATTCCTCAATCTGAAATTTGTAACATTTTATCATGAATGAACTTAGGTTATAGATTCTGGTTTGATTGAGGTAAATACATCAGTGAGCAAATGATATCAATATGACGTATTAACCTGGGACTGGAATTGCTGGGTGTAATGTTCGTGTATGTTTAGCTTAATAAAAAAAAACTGGTAAACTGTTTACCAAAGTGGTATACCATTTAGAATCCCCCAAGCGATGAGAGAGAGAGTCCCTGCTGTTCTGCATCCTTGCCAGCAATTAGTTTTGTCTAGGTTGTTGCTTTTTAATTGTAGTCATTCAATTAGATGTGTAGTGATATTTCATTGTGGTTGTAATTTAATTATATTTTCCTATGACTAATAATATTGGGCATCTTTAATATGCTCATTTTTTCCATCTATACATCTTCTTTGCTGTGGTCTGTTCAGATCTTTTGCCCATTTTTTATTTGCTTGCTGTCCGACTGTGGAATTTTAAGAGTTCTTTATATATTCTAGATATTTAAGTCCTTTACCAGATATGTGATATGCATATAGTTTCTTCCAATCAATGACTGGCCTTTACTTTCTCTTTAGTGTCTTTTGTAGAGGAAAAATTTGCAACTTTGACAAAGTCCAAGTTATCGATTTTCCTTGCATGACTTAAACTCTTCAACTCATATATAAATACTCACGCTCAGATTGTGCAGATTTTGCCCCATAGAAAACAGGACATTTCTAGATGTTTTCTTCTAGTTTTATTATTTTACATTTTCCACTTCAGTCTATGAATAGTTTTTAGAACTCATTTGTTTACAATGAGATTAATTGCTTAATTAATTTTAATTGTCTCTCCATTCCCTGCTCCAGCCCTTGCCAATCAACATTTCACTTTCTGTCTCTATAGTTTTGACTACTCTGTATACCTTATATAAGTGGAATTGCACCACATTTGTCCTTTTGTGAGTGGTTTATTTCACTTTTTATAATGTCTTTAAGTAAAGAATATAATTGTAGGCTAGAGGGGTTTTTCTTTTAGCCCTGTATGCCATCCCATAGTCTGTTGGCGCCATAGTTTCTGTTGAAAAGGCATCTATCAGTCCTATTGTTGCAACACTAAAAGGCAATATCATCCTTTCTCAGGCTACCTTTTAGTTTTTCCCTTTAACTTTTATTTTCAGCGGTTTAATTATGATGCAGTATGGTTTCTTTGTTGTTGTGTTCTTTTTTGGCTTGGGATTTTCTGAGCTTCTTACATCTGTGCGTTGATTATTTTTTTTACCACCCGTTTGGAAGTTTCTCAGACATTATCTCTGTACAAATTGTTTCTGCATCAGTCTCTCTCCTTCTATTTCTGGGACTTGAATTGCATGCAGGTTAGACCTTTTGACCAAGACCCACAATATTTTGTGCTTTCTAAATTTTTAATTACTTTTCTCTCTGATTCATTTTGTATATTTTCTATTAATAAATCTACCAGATTGCTCATCTTTTCTTATAAAGCCAATCCCAAAAGTTTTTAAGTTCACATACTGTATTTCTCAGTTCTGAAATGTTCATTCATTCTGTTTTATGGATTCCAGTTCTCTCTTGAAATTCTCCATTAGTTCTATTTTGTTTACCTCTTCCTCTATATTGGGAACTATGTTCATTTTAATTAATTAAAGATCCCTGAGTAATAAGCCAAATCTTAAGTGTCTTCCTAGTCTTTAAGAAAACATACACTATTTCTTTTTTGTCTCAGGGGAGAACACACACTCATTCCCCCAATACCACAAATGATGCATCGAGTTTCCCACATTGGGGGATTCTCAGGGGTCAGCACACCCAGAGTGTGGGGGAGACTCACCCTGGGAAAAGCACTTTCATGATCACTTTCCAGCTAAGTATAAACACACACTATTTCCAGGAACTGTGACAGCTCCCAGGACTTCAGAGTGAACCCATGTTGTTGTTTGCTTTCTGTAGATATCTATTCTCCTTCTGAAAAATAGTTCGTGGTCCTGGAGTAGACTGAATGTCTGACAGGGAACACTAACCCACTGTGGATTTCAAGCAGCCCTTGATAAGCTGGGGATTCACTTGAACAAACAAAACATGAAATTGGTTATTTACTTTAATCCAGTGGACGTGATAAACGTTCGATTAGTTCGGGCAGATCCTGAATGCACAAGGAAGCTGCATGACAGGTGGCTCCTACTTCCAAAACACACAGTCTGGTTCACGGACACCTGCCCACCTTCTTCAACAGCATCATGGAAAATCCTCCACGATCAACACCCTGAAGAAGAAAAAAACTCAAGTCTTGTTTATAAATAGCTCTTCAAAATGTTCTTGGGCTGCCCAAAAGTGGATTGCTCTTGTGTTACAGCCCCAGTCAGAAAAGTCTGGAGGGAGTAAGAGGGTCATGTCAGCGTATTGGTTTTTTCACCTGGTATCTTTAACGCCCCTGGGAGGTGAAGTGGAAGCAGTATGGAGTTATACAAGTTTATGAGCAATGGCTAATGGGTTTGCTGGAGTATGAAGAACTTAGAACAAGATAAGAGCCCTGGAGAAGAGTTCCAGTGATGGATCTCTCAGAATGCGCATCAACTGTGAAGATATTTGTGTCTCATGTAACTGTTTGCCAAAGGGCATTCATAGTAGAAGAAAAAGTCCCCAAACTATCAAGAGTAGGCAGATTAAGTTGACAAGATGATCCAAACCATGGACATCAGCCAAGCTTGTGATGAGAATGAAGACTAATGGCGTGAAGTCCTGAGCCCTTGAGGGTTGTTAATGATGCTCTTCTCATTACCAGCTCAGGAGCGACTTCATGCATATACCTCCCTCACAAGTGTGCTGCAAGAGATGCCAGGGAATCAGTCCCTGAGGAGTGTGGGTGCAGCGCCCTGTGGGAGCACCATCTTGAGGGAAGAACCCCAGCCCAAGAGTCCTGTGTGAGAGGAAGAATTGAGTGCTTAATGGACAGTGGCCCAGCCTCCAACAAGCTTTTTCTTTGGAGACACCAGTGTGGACCAGGCCTAGCACGTGAGCAGATCGAGGGATGGAGAAAAGCAGAGAAAGCTGGGGTTGAAGTCAAGACCAGGCTCAGGAAGACTGATTGAGCAGGCACAAGAGGGAGGCACCCAGAATCCAGGTTGGCTGTGTAAACATGGGCTGCGGGATCTTGGCCTACGTATCCTGGAAGGTCTGAACACAGGAATGTGCCCGGAGGTGGGATCAAATCATCTGGGCCAAGGGCTGCCCGTAAGAAAGAAGGCTGATGACAGTAGTAATCACTGGGAACACTGGTACACTTGGAGCTCTTACATGTCCAATTCTTCTGTAAATATGGTCTAAGCATCTCTCCATCAAGACTCACAACAACCCCAGGAGGTCTCAGATGAGGGGGAAAGACTCAGTGACTTGTTCAGGTTCTTAAGGCTAGGGGCAGGTGTTGGGAATCCAGTTCTTTCCAACTCATAAGTCCGCACGCTTCACCATTAAGATCCACATGACACAATGAAGGCAAAGATCCAAGTTTGCAGCAGCTCATTATGTGGGAAAGCCTTGCCCCCTCTGCCCTGGGGCAGTGACAACCACTCTGCCAGACACAGAGGGGACACCTCTAAGTGTTCCAAACTGGAAACCTCTCAGAGATCCTTTCCTCCAAATCCTTTACTGCACAGATGAGAAAACCAAGTTTCAGAGGCCTTAAGTGACAGCAAGCACTTGTTAGAGCTAATCCAAGAGCCCAGTGGAGCTCAGCCCCCCACAGCAGGCTGGCTCCAGAGCAACCTCTGCTCCCACTCCTCACCACCATGGCCTTGTCCTGACCCACAGTTTCTTGTTTGTTGAAGGACATAACCTCTCTGCAGTGTTGGGCAATGGTGGGTGATGATGTAGGTGAAGTGTGTGTCAGGTTGGACTTTCAGGTGACTCGGTTTTCTGTCCTTCCATGTTCGCCACCAGCACTGCAGCTGGCTTAGAGACTATCCCAATAAGGACGACCTGCTGGGGCAAGTTCTGTGCCCTGGGAAATAGCACCTGTAAGTCCCTAAGCCCAGGGCTGCATTATCAAGATGCAGCATGGAACTCAAAATAAAACGAGAACCCTAACCTGTAAAATAAGTAAGTATAAGAAAGTCCAAAATGTTAAACTTCCCTTAATTCTCAGTCACACCATACTATCCCATCCATGACAATGGGGAGTTAAGTAGAGAAGTTTCCCTTTATCCGTAGAATGTTGTGTCTACAACCTTCCCTCTTTCTCAAAAGCAATCCTAAGTACTCCTTCTTGACCATGTTGCCAGCCCAGGCTCCTCATTCCCGCCATATTCCCTGGTGCTTTCTGCCCCTACTCCACTGCCACCCAATAAACAACTCCCAAAGTATCACCACGTGAAGTTCTTTTTTGTGCACCTTGTCCTCTGCTATCAATTCCAGTTTCAGTTCAGGGCTTCAGCTGTGTCCCTAGGTGAGCTTCATGACATCCTCTCACCTTCAGTCCCCCTTCTAGATGGAACAATGAGTTCATCATGGAGACTGGATGTAGTGATCAGAATCCCAGCCACCTCCATCCTCACTCACTATTTCCTTCTAGCTACTCCTAAATATTTATCATGAGTAAACATGAAGTAACAACATCAACAACTATAACAATAATAATGTTCCTTTTTTACTGCTAAGCTCACCTGGTGATTGGCACCGTTGTTCTGTATTTCCTAGTTAAAAAACTAATTTCACTTTTGTGCATCAAAAGACACTAGCAAGAAAGTGAAAAGAAAACCCATAGAATGAGAGAAAATACTTGCATAGCATCAGTGTGATAAAGATTTAATATCCAGATTATATAAAGAACTCCTACAATTCAATAACAAAAAAAAACACTCAAATAAAAATGGGCAAAGAAATTAAAAAGATGTTTCTCCAAAGAAAATATGAAAATGGAAAATAAATATATAAGAAGATGCTGAATATCTTTAACGATGAGGGGAATGCAAATCAAAACCACATGAGCTACACCTCACAACCAATAGGATGGCCATTATCAGAAAATGGAAAACAAGCAGCTATAAGATAAGGTGAAATTGGAACCACTGTAGAAGAAACTCGCACAGCCACCATTGAAAACAATATGGTTATTCCTCAAAAAATTAAACCTACAATTACCAAATGATCCATCAATTCCACTTCAGGGTTTGTATCCAAAAGAATTGAAAGCATTGATCTAAGACATATTTATATACCTATTTTCATAGCAGCGTTATGCATAATAGCCAAAAGGCAGAAGCAATCCATATGTCCATCGACAGATAAAAAGATAAACAAAATGTGGCGTCTCATATATACATACATTGCAATAAAATTGAGCCTTAAAAAAGGATGAAATTGTGATACAAACTAAACATGGCTGGCTTCCTTTCTGTCAGATGCCCATCTCCAGACCCATCAACTGTGGCCAGAGGGAAATGCATGGAGTTCAGGCACTTGTATCATGTAGTTGTTATGAAGATTGAATGAAACTAGGTGATTTCATCTACAGACTGCCTTGTTCCTCTCCAGCCCCATTTCATGAACCCTGGTGAAGGTGCTACCACCTTCACTCTCCTGATGGAGCACGACAATCCCTTCATTACTCCCCCCACATGCCATTTCATAAGTGTCCAGAATGGACTTTCTCACACCTAAGTCTGGTCACATTACCACCCTCAACATTACTTAATAGTTTCCCCTCATTTGGCCCTAAATTATCTCCTTTTTTTAAAAAAAGATTTATTTATTTATGCATAAAAGCCCTGAGGTGTAGGCCAGAAGTGTTGGTGGGGGGAGGTGAGACGATTCACCAGAGACAGAGTAGGGAGCAGAGCAGGCAGACTGACTGAAATCCACTGCTGAGGGGAGCAGCGGTGAGACAGGAGAGATCTGCTGGACCATGTGAGTCAGCTCCCTGGCCAGGCATTAAACTCATGCCTCAGTGGCTGGTCATAGCTTGATAGCACTGAGACTTAACCCCTGTGCCACCAGGAGGCCTCTAAATGATCTCTTTGACTTTATGTCTCAACCTGGCCTCTCTTGTGGTAATTTTGAACTTATCTCAATTTCTCAAACACATCAAGTTTTCATTCTCACAAAATACTCACACTTTTCTCCTTGTCTCTGTCAGTCAAAATCTTACCCAGGCCTCTCCTGAAATACCACTTTCTTGGGGGAACTTGTCCTGGCACCCTGCAATGTGAAGTAAAAGCCATTTATAGGTACCATTTTAACATTTTATAACTCCCCCATTGAGCCACTTCCTTGAAATAGCCCTGAGAAGAGAGTTCAGGGCATGTTATGCCCATTGGTCCGTGCAGACTCCTTGCTTGTTTTATTTATCTTCTCTTATCCCCTAGTCCACCCAGTTCCTTTTCACACCTAAGCACCCACTCTGATTTCAGACGTATGCCTATAAATGTAATCATATCTTTGTATCATATGTAGAATGTTGTTTGCATATGTATATAACTTTACATCTACAAAAAAAGAATTGTATTTCATGTCTCTCTTTCTTACATTTCTCACTCAAATCTGTTTTTTAGATTTGTCTGTGTTATTAAGTATACATCTCCTTTCATGGGTTGCCATTGATGCATGATACTCAACAGTTTGATTTCATCACATTTTACTTTTCCCTTCTCCTAGTGAAGGACACTTAAATTGCCTCCAAGTCTTTGCTACCACGATGTCTTATGAATGTTCTTGTATGTGCCCGTTCATGAACCCATGGAAGATTTTCCATGGAATGTATAATAAGAGTCAAGTAGATTAGTCACAGGGTGTACATACATTGTAATTCAACAGAGGTCCCTTCATCTGCAGATTCTGTTATTTGCAAATTCATTGACTCACTAACCCCAAAAGCAATACTCTTGGCATTTTCTGTATCCCTTATGGACAAGCTCAGAATAGCAAAATAGCTGAGACATCCACGCACACATTTCCAATTGAGAAAGTAAGGAAACACTCTGCTGTCTAGTGTTGGCTCTCATTTTATAATCCTGTCCTTTCCATGGTCTGTAGTGATGTATTTTTCACTATTTTTGGTATTGTTGCTGATTTTGGTCATTTCACTGTTTAAAATGGTACCTGAACATAGTGCTAAGACACAAAAAGCGTTCTTGAGCACAAGTCTATGATGCGCCTTAAGGAGAAATTACATTGTAATTTCACTCATGAGTTCTTTGTTAAAGAGTCAACAACCGGTATTAAATCAGAAACACACACAGAAATATATAAGGTTTTGCACTGGTCAGCTGACAAAAATGTGACCAGAAGCCTGCAAGACCCTGTCTCCCCTAAAAGAATGACTCAGTGTTCACTAATTCAGTGTTCACGGCAACCTTCTAGAGTATAACTTCTGCAAGAAATTAAAACCTACTGTACATTGATAGTTTCCTAGAGTGGAGGTACCAATTACACGCCAAAGCTATGCAAGTCCCATCTCCCCACAGCCTCACTAATTTTTGGTAGCACCCAACTTTCTAATGTTTTGCCCTTCGTATAAGGCTAATGTGGAGACTCTCTGTTTAATTTGGTCACTAATGACTCATCTCTGTATACACTTGCTGGCAACTTTTACATCCCCTTTTGTGAGTTGCTTATTGAGAATCTTTGCTCATTTGCTTTGGGCTTCCTATATTATTTTATTGCTTTCAGGACTTCTATATGCTTTTTCCTGGGCAACTTTAAATATCGCAAAGATTCTTAATTTTGACATACTCAATTTTTTTACCTTTTGTTAGATAGGCTTTTGCTGTTTTCTTAGCACTGTATCACAAAGGTATCCCTCAACATTTTCTCTCATTAGCTTCATAGTTTATCTTCACACTTAAATGTGGAATTCATTTGGAGATCCTCTCTATTTAACGTGCAAAGTTGACATTCTGTTTTATTTTCAACCTAGTGAAAGCCATTTTTCTCAAATGAATTTTTTAAAAATTTGTCCTTCTTTGTTGCTTTATTGTGCCATGTTTTATCAATTTCATATTCCTAGACCTCTTGTCTACTTTCATTTCTTTCTATTATGCATTTGTCTATTGCTTGTCAGTCAATGCCATACTATTTTATTATTATAGTTCGCAGTATTTGTATTTTTACCTGTCTGATTCAAGAAACCGCTTCTCACCTTTCATATTTTGCAAAGTTGACTTACCTATTTCTTTGTCTTTATTCTTTCATTTAAGTTTTTAAATATACTTACCAGCCTCCTTGAAAATCTAGCAACAATTTTTGAGATTGCAGTATGCTACTCCTTCCATTGATTTTATAACTTCCCATTTACTCAAATCTTCTTTTATGTCTTTCATTCAAATTTTAAATTTTTTCACCAAACATGAGAGTCATTTTGCTATGAACTTCACAATTGTGCTACTATTATAAAAGTTAGTATAGAGTTCTTGTAGCCCTTACCACACTGAATTATAATTACCTTGTTATGCTTGTACATATTCTTCAGTGGACTGCATGCCAGGTAAGGATAGGCCTTCTTCATCCCTGCATGCTCAGGACCTCCCAGGGGTCTGGAACATAGTACTGACTTAATAAATAGCTCTGTTTTTTGGACATTTGGGTTGTTTCCATAGCTTAGCTATTGTAAACAGTGCTGCTATAAACATAGTGGTGCAGGTGCTCTTTGGAATTGATGTTTCTGTGTCCTTTGGGTAAATACCTGGGAGTGGAATTGCTGGATCATATGGAAGATCCATAGATGACTGGATCAAGAAGATGTGGCACATATACACCGTGGAATATTACTCAGCAATCAGAAAAGATAAACTCATGCAATTTGCAGCAACATGGATGGAGCCGGAAGGGATCATGTTCGCGAAATAAGCCAGAAAGAAAAAGAAAAATACCAGATGGTCTCACTCATAGCAGGAATTTAGAAAACCTAAATAAGGGACCAGGAAAAAGACTGATTAAAATAAAGTAAAAATCAAAATCAGCAAGCAACTATAAACCAGAGACACACTACGAGGGGGAGGAGGGAGTAGGATAAAAACAATGGGGGTAGGAATTGTATGGGGACTAAAACTGAGATAAAAATGCATACATTGTGCAAAAATGAAAAATGATGTTAAAAATATAAAATTAAAATAATAATAATTAATAAATAAGTAGCTCTGTCTTTAGCACATGGCATTTATTTTCTATCACTATCTGAGTAACCATTTCATCAATCTTACATTGTATTGATGACTAGACTCACACCAAAAAGAGAGCAGATGTGCTTCCCAAAGACTCAGAATAAATGAAAAAAAAAAAAAACTGGAGCCATTGCCTAGTTCTCCTGGCTAAGATCCATTTTCTTTCCATTAAGCGTCCCTCCACTTAACCTCATGGGAAGAGCAAATAGGAATATTCATACATAGCAAGTAAAATTACTGGGTTGTTGTAAAAGTCATGACGTATTGTTTTCTGTTTTCTGGCAAAAATGTGTCATGACATTTCTGACAACCCAGTAGAATCAAAGATCAATTTTCCTCAAGAGGGTCATGAGCCAGGAAGGTGATACTTTGTATCACAGAATCCCAAGTTGCTCCTTCCCTGGCTTCCCAATCCTCTACACCTAAATGCATCCCAATTGGAAGGGAAGAAGTAAAACTGTCTCTATTCATCATATGACTGGATGTTATATATAGAAAATCCCTGAAAATCAACAAAAAGCTTCTAGAGCTAATAAACAAATTTAGCAAAGTTGTAAAGTAAAAGATCAGCACACAAGAGTTAGTTGTATTTCTATATGCGAGCAATAGAAAATGTGAAAAGGAAATTAAGAAAACAATTTTATTTACAATAGCATGGAAATGCTTACAAATAAAGTTAGTCAAGAATGTGTGAGACTAATAACTGAAAAATTTTAAATATTGCGAAGAGAAATTAAATATCTAAATAAATGGAAATACACTCCAAATTTACAGATTGGAAGATATAATGTTGTTAAGATGACAATACTCCTCCTCAAGGTAATTCATAGATTCAAGGTAATCCTTACCAAAATCCAAACTGCCCTTTTTTCCAAAAATGAAATATTTGATCCTAAAATTGATATGGAATTACAAGGGAGCTTGAATAACCAAAAATCTTGAAAAAGAATTTCAAAATTGAAGGATTCATACTACCTAATTTCAAAACTTATTATAAAACTATAGTAACACAAACAGTATGGTGTTGGCATAAATATAGACAAATGAATTAATGCAATAGAATTGAGAATCTGGAACTAAACCTATGTAAAGTCAATTGATTTTTGACAAGAATACCAAGACCATTCAAAGAGGCAAAAATAGTTTTTTCAATAAACAGTGCTGGGTAACCACTGCAAAAGAATGAAATTGGGTCATTACCTCACACTCTGTTTAAAAGTTAACTCAAACTGGATCAAAGACTTTAATGGAAGAGTTAAAGGTGTTGAATTATAATATTGGACACCTGAAACTTATGTAATATTGTAAACATTATGTACAACTAGAAGAAAATATCTTCATGACCTTAAAATTGACCATTGTTACTTAGCTATGATAAAAATGACAAAAAATAGATAATTTTGACTTCATCAAAATGCTAAAATTTTGTGCTTCAAAGGACACCATCAAGAAAATGCAAAGACTACCCACAAAATGGGAGAAAACATTTGCAATTGTATGTCTGATAAGTGACTAATACACAGAATATATGAAAGCTACCACTCAACAGCAAAAGACAAACAGCCTAATTAAAAATGAACAAAAGTTGAATAGACATTTCTCCAGAGAAGATACACAAATGGCTAATAAGCACATGAAGAGATGTTCAGGACCATTAGTCTCTAGGGAAATGCAAATCAAAACCACAATGAGATGTCATTTCACACACAAGAGAACACTGTCATTTTAAAAACAAACAAGTAAGTGAAACATGTTGGTAAGGATATGAAAAAACTGGAACCCTCAGACATTGCTGATGAGAATATACAAGAGATAACCATGATAATGGGTAAAAAGGAGCTCCAATGGAAAGAAACAGAGCAAAGGACAATGGTAAGTTACAGGAGTCTACTGGTCCCAGCCCTGCTCTGTTAATATTATCTCCTTCCCAAAATGGTTCTCAGTCTCCTCCTTCTGCTCACTATTACAAGCTTTGCTCTGTTAATACTTGTATTGTCTCTTTTCACAGATATTTTTTCAGCTACAAAGAGACCTTGCAGTTGCAGATGAAGATGCTCAAGCACAGGCATGCAAAAATGTGTCATGACATTTCAACACGCACACAAGGATGAGAAGAGCATGATCCACGGTAACCGAGGTCCTCTCTGACAAGCTAATTGACACACCCCTGGCAGGAGGTTTAAAATATTAATGATTCCTGTGCTGTTGTGCAACTACAAATGTGTGTGAGAGGACCTTGTATCATGCTTCACTGACTGCCCCAGAAGCCTGGCCCCAACATGCCTGCCTGTTAAATAAAGAAAGCAAAACTACACCTTGTTTGGGGACACAATCCCTTAAGGATATCTCCCTGGAGTCTATCACTCTTGCTAAATAAAACCTTTACCTTCTCCCTTACTTTATCTTGGCAATGTGATGAGTCCTCGTTGTTTTCTTGAGTACAGGTCCCAAGGACTCTGTGTCAGCTACTGTGGGAAACAGTTTGTCAGTTCCTCCATAAGTTAACATGGAATTATCACATGACCCAGAATTCCACTCTTGGCAATATGCTAAAATATTGAAACCAGGCGTGCAAGCATCAACTTGTATGTGGATAGTCATATCAGCCCTATTCATAATAATCAAAAGGTGTCAAACAACCCCAATGTCCACTGACAAGGAATGGATTTTTCAAATATGGTTCATAACACAATGGAATGTCATTCAGCCTAAAGGAATAAAATTGTGATTCAGGCTATTGAACATGGATGAATCTTGACAACTTTAAGGGTGAAGGAAGCCAAATATCAAAGGACAAATATCATTTGCCCATGCATGAGCTGAGTAGAAAGGCAAGTTCAAAGAGACAGAGAGTGAATGAGAGGTTGTCAGGGGCTGGGAAGGGAGATGGGGAAGTCACTGTTTCAAAATAGAAGGAATGGTGGCACAACATTATAATTAATCCCACTGAGTGGGACACTCACAATGGTTAAATTGCCTATTTTATGTTATATGTATTTTACCACAGTTTTACAAATTAATAATGTAATATACTAAAGAACCACCCAACTGTGTACTTAAATGGTATGGGGATTTATCTCAAAAAAGAAAAAAAGCTGTTTTTAAAAAAGGAATGCAGTACTGGTAAATGCTACAACAAAGGTGGGCCTTAATACATCTATGCAGGGCCTCTCTGGAGGTTCAAGGGGTTAAGTACAGCACTGTGAAGCTCTACACAGCCACTGCACCATGAATTTGATCCCCAGCCAGCCAGGGAGCAACTCACATGGCGCAGCAGACCTCTTCTGTCTCGCGGCTGCTCCCCTCAGCAATATATTTCAGTCAATCCACCTGTTCCATACCCCACTCTCTCTGGTGAGTCCTCTCACCCCCTGCATCTCTGTCCTGTACCCCAGTTCTTGTATGCATAAAGAAATAAATCTTTAAAAAAAAGTCTACGCAAAGTGAAATGAGCAAGTCATGAAAAGCCTCACAGAGTAAACTATCCAGAATGGGTGGAGCTATAGACAAATCCATACACAGAAGGTAGATTCGTGGTGGCCTAGGGCTAGGGACTGTGTAGTTGGAGGGGAAAGTGTAGTGACTGCTAGTGGGTAGAGGGCAGAGGAGCAGATCAGGAAGCTAGCTGAACACATGGAAGACCACTCTGCTATCAAGAAATTCATGCCATTTGCAGCAAAATGAATGGAGCCGGAGGGGATTATATTGAGAGAAGTAAGTCAGATGGAGAAAGGCAAATACCGGATGGAGTTTCTTTTTTGATGATAATGCTCCAAAAGTGATATGGTGAAGATCACAGTTTGTGAATACACTAAAAACTATTACACTGCAGGTATAATAGGGGCATAGGGGTTAAGTCTCAGCGCTATCACCTCTATGGTCTGAGTTCGATCCCCGACCTGGGAGCTAACCCACACACGGTGCAGCAGACCTCTCCTGTCCTGCTCGCTGCTCTCCTCACCAGTGTCTTTCGGTAGATCCACCTGTCTGCTCCCCACTCTGTCTCTGGTGAATCCTCTTATCCCCCACACCTCTGGCCTACACCCCAGTTCTACGCAAAAATAAATAAAAATAAATCTAAAAGAAAAATAACTATTGCATTGCATACTTGAGATGGGTCAATTGTCTATATGTGAATCATATCTCAATAAAATTGTTTTGAAAATGAGATCATGCATGCAAAGGCTGAGCCTCAGGCCTGGCCCCCAGAGTCCCCAGCACAGGACAGCCCGCAGAGGTGAGGGTGGTTCTGGCGATGACGACCATGTACTTCATACAGTGAAACACCGAAGTTCTGTTCTTACATGGTGAAAACAGTATTGTGATTATCTCTGCACTTTGTGCTTTTACTGTAAGTGGACAGAGTGCC